GCTTGTATTTCCCTTTTGACGGCAAAAGTGATACACCGTTTTTTTTTTTTGCCACTCGGAAGATATGAGGGTTGGTTAGAGGTGGTGGGGGTGGGGTGGGAGGGGTGTGGCGTTGAACCATTTCCCTCTCTGGTAGTTTTAAGTGATTATTTCAATTTACTTAACCAAGTAAGAAGTAAGTATTGCAAGGGAGGCCGAAGGTGTAATACTGCTTGATTGTTATCTGTGGCTAAGTGCCTCGTATTCACTCCTGTCATGATAGCTGTCCTTACTGTCTGAGCCCCGTGGATCTAAAAAGCCCATGTCTTGTTTTCTTTGGAGCCAAAACATAAGATCGGCTTTTGTTTGACCCAACAAAAGAAAGTTGGGGTTGCAGTGCAGGACATATTGCAGGTCATGCTGTGACTCATCCATTTAAGAAACTTGTGTGAAATGTGATTTTTACACCTATTCATAATGACAAGTGAATTGTCTGAAACGTTTGGCCTTCGTTCAGTTTGGATGTTTCACAATGAGCCACCAGTATGCTGGTGGCTAACGTGCACTACACGCAACATTCCCATTGGCTGTTTGATGGACATACTGTGAGTGAGGATTAGACGTTGATTCAAACATCTGTTTCTGAACCATAATAAGGTTATTTCCACCATTTTTTACCTTGTTTATCTTTTCACAGCTGCAGTTTGTGCCCGGTTTTAACCCACCAAGTAGCTTATGAAAGCCTTAAAAATTCACTGAGATATTTTGCCACCGCTAAAGGTTTGTTTACATGCATACGGCAGGCATTTCACAGTTGTATAAACTTTATTTTCATCCGTCCAACACTGAACTGTAATTGAGCATTTAACTTGAGGCACAATCAGAGACTGGCATTGAGTCACATTGTACTTAATTGCTGACTGAAAGAAGTTAGCCTTGCTCGCTGATGTAAGTTAATCTATCTGATCTGGTTTACACCAGAATGAGTCGAGCCCGCAAATAGACTCTCTCTCTCTCCGCCAGAAGTCTGTTAAGTAGAGCAAAGTGACAAAATTCTGGTAATTGGCTGTTAAAATCCCTGTATGCGAATTCTATAGCTGCAGATGATCATTACCACGTACTGACAACCTTACTCATAAAGCAGAGGCACGATTTAGGTCAGGTTCAAAGGCTGGATTTTTGTTGTTGCTTTTTATTGAGTTTGAGTGTGTGTTTGACTACAAATGAAAAAAACAAACTCTACAATAAAAGATTAATTCAAAATCTAAGGTAGAGCTACTTAAGTAATGTAGCCACAACACAGTAGGTTTTCTAAAATCTATGTATCTATTTATTCTTTTATGTTATTTCCAAAGGTGTGAAAACAAATCAGTTATAGTCATTAAAGTCAGTTCATTAAATGTGTTTTCTTCATCAACTACAGACAAAATTAATGGGATGTGATTGGTTTTTAAACTTTTTTTTGGATGATGTTAACTTCCTCTACCCTCTAACGGAAATGTCAGACTTCAAACGCCGAGTTCTGTGCTGTATTCAATTTGAATCATGATCCAGATCCAACACTTTTGTTATCGACGCCATGGCACAGACACAGTCGCTGACTTACAATCGCAAAAACGAGACGCACAAACACACCTACAGCACAAATGTGCCGTCGGATGCTCAGGGGCGCCTCTGTGGACCTTCAGATACCGAATTAACAGCGAACCCTTAGGTTTCCCACATTCCCCACACAAGCTTTGATCAGCTCGCGTTGGGAACATTTCCATATGCATGCAGAGGCTCTCTGTGAGATGAATAGAGATGATAAAATTGCAGTAACCTAGAAAAAAACAAACTGCAGATTTTTCGGCTTTTCACAATCTTCTGAGACTCGTCTATCTTTCAGACTTCATACATCCGTCTGAGTAAAGTTATAAACATTTAAAGGCTTAGGCACTCATGTTATGGCTGAGGTGGCTGGAACTTAATAGCTTTTAATGTAGTCTAAGGTAGACTTCGGGTCAACGCATTATCTGTCACACTCAGAACAGGAGAAAGCCATCACTGCCTCCATCCTTGTGTTTTACCATGCAAACATGCTATTCTCACCATTTCTGATTCTTTATTATTTCATTTTCGAGTCTCTTCGACAGCCGTTGCTTTAAAACCTCACTGAAAGGCCACGACTATTTCAAGGCTGCTTTAAGGTGTTGATTTATTCTTTCTTCTTGATCTGATTCATCTGGTACAAGAGCACAAGTCATCCACATGTGCCATGGATTGGGATAAGACACAGTAGAACCAAGCAACCATTGATGAAATACTGTATGTTTATATCGATCTGCCCGTGCATATAAAAGCAAAATATTATGTGATTTCATCGCAAAGCAAAAAACAAATGGCAATAGAAAACAAGATCTCGCTTCAAATCAAAAGAAGGATTGAAATAATTATGAATGGAGGTTCGCATATTCAGAATGGCCTTCCATTTCTGTTCACATGAGAATGATCAGTTACAGTTACTTTAGAAAAAAAGAAATAAAGGATCTCAGTCTGTCCCTTCTGTGCTCTAAGGCTTCTTTCTGTCTACTTATAGTCTCTTTGGTAGTCAAAAACACACCTGTTAATGGCTGCAGATGCAAAGACACAAATGAAAATGTGCCAAATTGATGTAATAAGATACAATAACAAACAGAGAGGTTTTACACCTCAGACACTTAATTCTCCATTGGAGGATATTCTGTACTCTGAGTGTATAATGAAAAGCCATCTTTGAGAATTGTGCACTAATTGCATATACTATAGAATCTTCTTTCTGGCACTGATTAAATGAAAGGAACCAGCAGAAAGTGAAGCTGGGCTTTATGTACATCAATCTTGCCCAAGTTATTTTCTTTGCGCCACACACTAAAGCGAATACATGCCAGACTCCTGCGTCATTGCCCGTTGGCAGTACATACTTCACTTAATTTGGCTGACCCCATTGAATAGTGCTAGGTACCTCTGACCACGCCACTCTTCATTGCATCATGTTTGCCAAGTAAACATGTTCCAATTTTCACATCTGTGTACTGTACACCTAATACAGAACCAGTTTAAATGGGATGAATTGCTTTTATTCAGTGTTGGAAGAGAGCCCGTGTAGTTACTGGACTCAGGGAAAGGTTATTTATTGTCTTTAAACGCATTGTATTACCACGTTTAACCTGCACATTTAAAAACATGCGGAAAAGCAAACCTAACTGGTATCAGGTGTATTGCATTATGATGAAAAAGGGACATAATAATAAATTGGTTTGTAACATGCTGAGGGTGATAACAAGCCCTGTCTACATGCAGCCATTACTTCTCTGTTAAGATCAAATAAATGCCTCCATCTACTATTCAGACATCAAGACTAAAACCGTTTCTACTGACACTGACTGAGCTCTCGTTTTAGAATAAATCATTTACAGGTATTATACCTGTGTGAGAGAGCAGGGACTCAATTATACCTTTGATGTTGTGACGTTTGGGGATTTTTCTGCATTATTAATAACCACCATTATTTTTATGTTGAGGATGTCTCACATAAGGGAGTAACCTCCACACCAAGCATTTATGAGTAAGTTTCATTAGATAGACGAACATTATCTCACATTCTCTGTCATTCAGCACATGACAATTATCAATACTTGACCTCAGTTTGTAACAGTTGATACGGGGAGATAGATTCAAAGGTTTGTATATGAGTTTTAATAAGGCCTGAAGGAGGTTACTTTGAGAGGACACTTGATGGCCTGGGCCTTTTGTCCAACGGCTGACTTAAAATTATGTAAGACAGTATATCTCCCTTGAGAAGCTTAAGTATGTCATGAAGATTTTTTTGGGGGGAAAGCTGACCATCTGCATAGAATAAAAGATGATCAACATCGCCTGACTTTGAATTGTAGAAAGATTGCACAGCTCCTTCTCCGGTGGCAATATAAGGTTATATTTACTTTGCAGCCATCTGAGATTTCTAAATGTGTTACCACATGACTTCGAACATCAGCATCGCCAGATGACGGGGGGAAAAAAGAGGGTGCGAAGCCTGCAGGAGGCCGAGTTTAATTATAATTGAAGTCTTGCATAAATTAAAATACTGCATATTAAACAGGTCTTATGCGCTATGTACCAGGCAATAACGTGATATATGTGCATTGTTTGTTTATGGGCTTAATTATGATGTGTGAATGTTTTTTTTTTCTGCTGTTAGTTTTCAAAGGCGCAGTTTTAAAAAAACAAAACATGTTAAATTCCATAGATATGATGAGAATGTTTTTCTGGGTGACACTGTTCGCAAATCAAAAATTGGCACACCAAGATGCTTCACAACATGAATGTCGATAGTGAAACCAGTTAGTTTTTTCACTGAATGTCTCCTCAGGATTTCGTAGCCTAAACTGCACCTTGGTTCTACAAATCATACCAGAAACACGACAAAAGGGAAGATTTCAGTGCCACTTTGGACATTTCCCGCGAGCTGCCTGCTCTCCTCTTTGAAGAAAATGTTGATTGCATGGGATTTTTTCTTTTTCCCTCTCCTCCCTGCAGCTCGCTCCAGAATGATGATGATGATGAGGTGGCCAACAAGACGTGGGTGCTGACTCCCAAAGTGTATGAGAGCGACGTCACACACATCCTCAACAGCCTGCTAGATGGATACGACAACAAGCTCAGACCCGACATTGGAGGTGGGAACTGACTTTTTCACAGGTGATCTGTTTAGTCAGAGAGTTTCAGAGGAAAATACACACATTGAAATAAATTGAAAACAACAACAACAAAAAGCTATATACTACACACTGAAGATCTGGCCATGAAACAGTCAGATTGTCAAGTATTTAGAAAAAAATCCTCTTTTATTTTAGTATGGTTCTTTTCTATCAGATCACTTGGGCAATAAAACAAATAACTTTAAAGTGCTGTGAGATAACATTTGTTGTAGGCTGGCGCTCCATAAATCAAAATGAACTGAATCGAATCAAATTGACAGTCGCCTCTGATATAGTGATTCTGGTTGTGTTTGAACTGAAAAAAATCTCGAAAGTCTGAAAGGCATTAGATCATCATTATCCCATGACGATGGGCTGAGCGATATATCTCTCGGTGCATTTTTGTGTTGACAGGAAGAGAGAGGCTATTTATGCGGCGTGTCTGCCTGTGTTTATGTAGATGCATGCTTTACGGTCAGGGAAGATGTCTGTCACGGTCCTGTAAACCTACAGACAACTAGCTTACTCCCTTCACTTTGACAGACAGCTGAACAGGGCTCCGTTGTCTGCACGGGCCCCATCACATCCATCTGGAGGAGGGGAGCAGGGAGATGCTCAGTACTCTTGAATACTTGATTTATGGGACAGTATTCCCAGTAACACTGGCTAAAGCCAGGAGCTGTCACGTACTGTCACAGAAGTATAAAGCTGTGGCGCTTCATATGCTGGCAGTGAGCTGAATGCCACGGCTCTGGCCCAATCGTGCCGAAAAAGAGCAACCGACTTGTGCTGTAAGCTGAAATTTCAGAAGGTTTTGTAGTTTTTTTGGTCTTTTTTTTTTCCCCATTTCAGAAACAGGCTCCCCCTTTGCTTTGCAGTCAAAGGTTTCTCTCTATAAGAAATCCATCCCTTCCTCACAGCTTTAAAAAAAAAACATCCGTTTTTTCTTAGATGCAACGAAAAAGAACACAGTTCATCATCGGTTTTTCCAACTGAAGCTGAGGCCATTTGTTCAAACTGGGGAAATATTAGCAGGAATCAGGGAAATGAGTAAGACCTTAAAAAGCTGATGTGCGGATGAATCGGAAGGCGCTGTGTAATGCTGCTGTGCATCATGAATCATTCACACCGGTTCACATGCTGGGTTACGGGCTGCTGTGTATTTTGCGGCATCCATTTTTATTCTCGAGCCTTTGAAGAAGAGGGCCTGGTCCGTGAGCTGATGAGCCTCTAAGATTTTGCTTTGTGGTGCAGATTCAACTTAAACATCATCTCCGAGTGCGCTGTGATCTTCCTCTCTCTCGGCGCCGGCCTCCCATTGGCTACCAAGTTACAGATCCTCACAGGGGATATAATTAGCAGGGTGTGCTGTCATCTGAGCCAGCACCCAACCGACCAACCATAGCCCGGCAGAGTGAAGTTTCCCTGAGCTCTATGGATTTAGATTAATCACTGATTGTGCCACAGCTTCTCTTTGAAGTCCATTGTGATGCTCATTCAATTCCAATGCCCCTGAAGCGTGCCATACATGTGAAAACTTAAGCGTATTGGGCAGAAAAGACAGAAATAAAAGGAATTCTCTTAATTCTCAATCTATAATGCATACGTGGCATTGATCAAGATCTTTTTAAATTGTTTGGAAGATAACAAATGTGCAATACAACCTGTGGTCAATTGTGAGTACAGTGCTGGTCAGAGTTTTTGAGATAAGCACAATATGGTGTGCATCTTGGCATTGGCTCCAATGTGTGGCTGCAAGTTTGATCACTTTATGTCTACCGGCAGTGGTCATAGGTATGCTTTTTGTGGGCACCTATCTTTATGAAATAGGTCTATATTCCATCTTGCACTGTTAAATAGAATCAGCTTTTCCCTGGTGTATTTATTCTAATGTATTCCAAAAAAGTTCCAAATATAAACACACATCAGACACAAATTCTGCAAAAATATGGTAGATAAAGTAGTAGGTGTATACCCACACAAACACCCTTGGTATGTCTTGAACAGTTAGAGTAGCTGGCACATTAGGCTGAATGAGTCTAATCCCTCTCTCCTCTAAAAGAGTCATCAATAGATACTATTAGGAGTAAAGACTTACCTGGGCCTGCTCAGTGACTGTGAAACAGCGTGAAGGTTCATTTACAAAGCAGCCGGACAATATCCAGCACAATGCTTTGTCTGAATACTGACCCTTCTATCTGTTTAGCCCATTTAACCAGAATAGTAAAAAGAAATTATGTGTAAAAAGATAGTGTAGCTGAAAGTTGTTAAGATAATGTTCCAAAAGCAGGCAATCAGGCAATAGTTGAATATGATATCTGAATAGTTTAACTCAAGTGAGCACAAAAATGATTCCAAAGCAGTAGAGAACAGAATACAAGCAAAACTTTCTTTCAGCTCAGAAAATTCTAATAAAACTTCCAAATGCAGTATTTCAAACCTCGGTATACTGTAGCAGCAAACAGCCACTGCACAGGGCATTTGATGTTCTTCACAAAGCCCAAAGCCTCAGTCTCTGTGCCTCTTATTTCCTGCTCTTAAGGTATTTTCTTATATGTTTTTTCACACAAGTCTCTTTCAGAGTGAAAGTCTATCTTTTACCTCAGCAGATGATACAGTTTCCTCAGTTGAAAGACTACCAAAAAAAAATTGTTTTGTTTTTTTCCGTCTATATGATGGGACTTGTGACATACATTTTGGGGCTTTAATTCCGATTTTTGTTTTTGCTCAGTTTGTTAAAAAAATGTACCTGCTACTTCAGTGGGACATGCAATGGTTTTGTTTTGAATTTCTACCTTTAAAGACTTCTTAAAACCTTTTTTTTATCTTCAAAGAGTCACATTGGCTTATTAACTGACATCATTGCTTGCTATGTCTTTCATCTGCTTTTGGGGACCAGTTTATCATCAAGCAAAAACTATAGAGGCAGCAGCAATTCTCCAATCAATTTATTTTTCTCTTTATTGAATATTCAATTAAATACAATACATTACAGTTCTCAGTGTGTGCTTCTCTGCTTTTGATGAGCTTAAGTTCTGTTCTCCATTTTGTCTTACAGCTTGTGATGTATTGATGTGATTCTTGTCACCTTCACGGGAACATCTCCTTAATTTCGTATCGCGCGTCAATCACATCCCATATTTATTTATTTCGTGATAACCTGGTGGTGCTCATTTGCTTGTCTTGATTGGCCGCCTCCGTCAGTGAGTAAAGCAAAAACGGAGGCTTGATTAAGGTTCATCACTGACGACAAGTATGAAGACTACTGCCCACCTTCTTATAGCTCATTTTGCAGGGAATGAAATATCAATCATATCTCAGGTTTCTTTTTCCTGTGCTTCTTTGCAGTCAAGCCGACAGTGATCCACACAGACATGTTTGTCAACAGCATTGGCCCAGTAAATGCCATCAATATGGTAAGTGAAACTGGTATATAATATAAATCATCATCCTTATTAGAAATCTGTCTGAGCCTGCATTTAGAACTAAGAGGGGTTATTTGTCATTGGCCTCCTTCCATAATGCTAATAGATTGAGCTCCAAACCAGATTTTCAGGGATTTGAAAATATGCCCGTTGCTTTAGCTGAAGTTAAATATATAGACTATGTATATGTATACACACATGTGTTTACACACATAGATATATATATATTCAATGCTATTTCAGTAAGAACCAATTGCATTTATTTATTTTTTATTCTTCTTATAGCGTGCATTCGGTATTTTGGGGATCTTTTCAAAATAGAGCTCAGAACATGGAAAAATAGAATAATGAGACTGAATTGGTACCCAGTGTGATACTTACCATGCCAAGTTTGTCCAACGTCTTACATCTTACACAATTGCACCCTCTTTTCAGCCAAACTGTGTGGGAGATGTGACGATTTGTCTCATATTCCAGCGTTCAGCGCCGTCCAATTAGCAAGTCAACATTTTCAGCGGTGAAAAAGCGTCTTTTTTTTTTTTTTTTTGCTGATACGTGCAAAGCGGCCGCCTTTACGTGCCGCTATCTGATCGCCGTTTGTAAAGTTAGGCGATAGAAAAATTCTGCACGTAGCAGTAGCCTGGAGATTACGTGGCAAACGAAACACAAAAAAAAAAGTTGGATTTAGACAGATAGTTAGAAAAAAAAATGGACGTCATTTACAAATCAGCTTTATTTATTTATTTATTTTGCGCACTCTTGCTGAGAGGCAGCGTCTGCTGCTCCTCTGCAGAGCGCTCCTCTCTGCATGGCGACGATGTTCCATTTCGCTTAGTCTTAGCTACAACACCCACTCTCTCAGTGGCTGCAGTTAGAAGCGGTGATGGGATCGGTTGGAAAATGTGTGTTTGTGCTCACATTAGGGAGCCACGTCTGTGTATGTGTGTGCGTGTGTGTGTGTGTGTGTGACAGGGGCATTCTGCTGACTTGAAAGGTTGACTGATGGCTCCACATTCATATGTAACGTGCGCGGTTAGGAGAGCGCATTCACGCTGTGACATGACAAATGTGGCAGGGCTGGTAGTCTTCCCATGGAGAAGACAGTAGACGGATGGTGAGGGGGTGTGCATCTCAGCTAGCGCGAACACAATTTTCATTTCTTAGTCACGAATTAGGAATCCTTATGAGATGACGACGTTACGATTTTGTGACTTGTCGGTGGGGTTGGAGAAGGCTAATGGTGAAAAAGGCATTCGATGTTTTTTTCTTTTTTTTTTATTCGTTTATTTGATAGGGACAAGTATGTTTCATGAAACATGTCACACACTATAACATTTTAGCTAAGGCTGTCCCCAGTTAGGCTTTTACACGAAACACAGTGACTGCGCAACACAACAAATTACACACTAAAACATCACAGATAAAAGATCAAGACAGTCAGATTAATAATGTCCACATGTCTGACCTCTCAATAAAAAGTCTTTAAGTTCAGCGAGGAAAGAGAATCCGAAGTTCAGCGAGGAAAGAGAATCCGAAGTTCAGCGAGGAAAGAGAATCCGATTTCGCTGCCGTGTAGCAATGGAAGCAAAGCCTGTCCGGCTGTCTCTGATATAAGCAACAGCTGAATTGAGAGAGGCGGTATCCTCGAATCAACCCCCAAGTGGATACACACAGCAGGTTGAAGAAAAAATGTATAGCAGATGTTTGACCCGCTCAAAGGGGTCAACGGGAAGATGCTGAAATCAAGGATTTCTCTCATCACTGGATTTGAACTGTCAGTCTGTTCCATGTGAAAGACAAAGATGGGAATTTTGCTTTGTCATTTTAAAGAAAATATCTCGTTTGGAACTCCTTGACAAGGATTTTAACTTCGCTTGAAGTTAATGCCTGTATGCCCTTTTGTGCACAAATCCGCAGGTTATTCTTATCTTCCTCATGTTGTATTTCCTTTGATCATCAGGGTTTCAACCAGTCCAAATAAGAGAATAAATAAGAAAACTCCCTCGTTTTACTGCCTCTCCATATCTCAAGTTTTTTTTTGTTTTATTCTTTCAGCTCTCAAACTCTTCCTCTGCCAACAAAGCTCTCAAAATGACCAAATATGAGACTAAGCTCGGGGACAAAGCACTATCAAGAAAGCTGGTTATGAGGCTTGGCGATGTTTCAGTCAAACAATGAGCGATATTAAGTGCCCCATTGAACACTTAATTTTCAGGTTGAAGGCGTCAAGATGGCTGTTTCAGAGGAGCTCTTTTGAGGGCGCACTGGCCTGAACACACACCATCTTGCAAAAGGCAAAAGGCGCTTGCAAATACGTTCCAACATTGGCTTCCGAAGCACGGGAACGATCCTTTCATACGAGTGCTTTTCAACCCTGTTTTGTTTTTTTGCGCACCTTCTTTATGGAAGAAACGCATTCCTGACAGGGCAAGATGCAGGCCCTGCAGATATAAACTGTAGAACAAGCAGTCGTGGTGGAATAACAACACGTTGTGTTTTCTCCTTGTCAGGAATACACCATCGACATCTTTTTTGCTCAGACCTGGTATGACAGAAGGTTAAAATTCAACAGCACGATGAAGGTCCTGCGCCTCAACAGCAACATGGTGGGGAAGATATGGATTCCCGACACTTTCTTTCGCAACTCAAAGAAGGCCGACGCCCACTGGATCACCACACCCAATCGAATGCTTAGGATCTGGAACGATGGAAGAATACTTTACACTCTCAGGTAAGATGTAGGGGGGTTACCGGAGGCCAGATATGAGAAATAGATGAACTGACTTACATATTCAACGTTCTTTTTTTTTTTCTCTTTTACTTCAAATTACTGCCATGATTGCTGTGATTTTAGGGGCCATTAGGTGTCTGAATGGTGTTCCTTTGGTCGAAGTTTTCTGAAGCCAGATTTGAGTGAATAAAATCGTCATGGTCTGCAGTTTCTGTGTTCCAAATGTTTTAAAGCTCTTTGCTTTTGTTACCGTGTTCTTCTTTTATTTCTTGGTTTCGGCTTTCCTACCTGCCCTCCATTTTTTCTATGTAAGTTTAGCTTGGTTTTTACCACATTGTGACTTGGTTCATATTCTTCGACTCACTGCAAGTGCAATTCACTTTCTTTTCTACCTGCTTCTTCAAGCATATTGTGACAATATGGTGCAATAAAAATGGTGGAAACTGAGAAATCATTTCAAATGCACTTAAAGCCACACGTTGCCAACTTTATTCCCCTCAAATAAGTCAACAGAAATATATCCAAACTCCATTTTTCTTTTCTCTATTTAAAAAAAAGGTTAGATTTGCTTTGTTTGAGTAGAAACATTGTCATTCAGACATCAACAAAACCAATTCAGACATACTATAAATACAAGATATCACATGTTCTGAAAGGTGTTCAGACACGATGATGATCAGTTCATATTGACAGACTCGCTGAGTGTTTCATCAAAACACATACAATTCACAAAGTGTTACATATATATTGCCGTTATTAGCCTGACTTCATTTTCTTTTTTGCTAGGGTGCTGCCTGGTCTTCCATGACTGCACAACTAGCAACATATGTTCTATAAAAAGCATTCCAAGGAACCAAACCAGCTCTAAATAAATTATTCATCACACTGATTATTTTGAACAGACCCTGGGAAAAATTTAACACCAACCAAGTGTAATAAGAATTCATATGTAGAAAATCAATTTGTCTAGATAAGACTATAAATTCTAATGTGATAAAGGAACAAACTACATTTCCCTACACTAATTTTTATGGTTTGAAATTTAAAGGTGAAATTATTATTATAAGCATATTATATCATCGTCTGTGAGATGACTGGATGCTTAGTGACACCACTGAGGGCATGCTGTTTTTCGCCTTTTGGCTTTTCCCATCAGGGGTCACCAGAGTGTGTCAGCCTCGACTCGCACGGCAGGACTTTTTCAGATTTAGTTTTTAATGCCAGATGCCCTTCCTGATACAACTCTGGTATTTATCTAACCTTGGGATCAGCACAAACAGGAGACAGAACGCTGTTCCTGATTCGAAGCAATCGGAGTTTCAGCATCTTGCCCAAAGAAACTTCAACATGTAGACGGGGATTAAACCCCCTGCCCGCCCCATTATGCACCTGCTCTCATCCCTTAGCCGCTGACAACAAAGAGGACGTAAATAAAGTGTTTCTAAGCGGAAGCGTGTTACACGTGCCAAACGGGTCAAAGTTAAAGAGAAATATTAAATGGGCTTATTATCATGTTTGCCCAGCGTCATAAATACAGTTGGACGTTTGCGGTGACACAGCAATATATCACCGATGATAAAAGAGAGAGAGAGAGGGAAGTATTCTTAACTCCATCAAGCTGTGATGGATGTTCTCCCGCGCAGAACTCTACCCCTCCACTTCATTAATTTGCTAAGGAACTCAGAACTTAAGCGCTGGTTAATTAGGATGGCTGCTGTGAATCAGAGCACAATGATACTTGACAATAGCGAGAGCACGGATGGGTGAAGGCATTTCAGGTCATTCTCTCATTACGAAGAAGTTTAATGACTTCGCGTTCCAACTTTATCAAGAGTAAAACAGAGAAAAAAAAAAGAAAAATAAGTGTGTTTCTTCGAAAAAAACAATTAAAATTTTATTTTATTTTGCCTCAGCGATAAGGATATAATTGAGTCAATTCGGGCCATTTTTTAATGGACGCTGTCTCTGCAGGTTGACCATCGATGCCGAGTGCCAGCTTAAACTGAACAACTTCCCAATGGATGAGCACTCCTGTCCCCTGGAGTTCTCAAGCTGTAAGTTTGGCCATATGCTGGTACCCTGCTGATTTACCCCTCCCCGTCCTTTTGGTACTCATTTCAAACGCACACGTAATGCTCACAAACATGCAGCAGATGACAGAAAATTTCAGTAATAACTAAGCAATCGAGCTGTAAAGTCATTCAAGCTGCAACGGTTTATGGATTTTTTTAAAGACATGAAAAGTAGATAAAACGTTTTAAACCTGATTTATTACCTAAAATAAATGCCTACTAATGACAGAATGCAACTTAAAAGATTCACTGGATGACACCCTTTACCAGATCACTACTGAAATAATGTCACACTATTAGATGGATCAAAAACAGCAAATACTTCCACAGATGCCTTAGATATGGAAATGTATAAGACTGGTGAATAATAAAGTATGACTGGCACCCTCTAAAGAAATTTCACATTTTTAATTTCAAATTCAACCAGAGTCTAACTGTTCTGTACGTATCAATGTAGGTGTGAAGAGTACAGATTACTCAGTCCTATCTAACAAGAATAAGAGGGGTAAGATATGTTCATTAGTCGGCTATGGATCCACAGACAGATGCATCATGGGATGCTCTCGGGGGAAAACGCTACCCAAATAGCTCCAGCGAACAAGAAAGAGAAACCGAGGGTGTTATAGCACGCCTAAAAATGGAACAGTAGCATTCATTTAAATTTGATGAGTGCCACGGATGTTTTCAGAACTTTGAAAAAAAAATTGCTTGATGTACAGAGCGCGAGCCCGGTCTCAGAAGTTGCCGGGTAAAGCGGCACGCAGCAACTTATCACGTGGCAAATTATCTCAGCACGTGCCGCCCGAAAAAAACAAAGCATTGCGTAGTGCAGCCCTCTTCTGCAGCAGTTTTGTTTGTAGTCAGACGAGATCAGACCACGCCATTTTAGCGGGGGGTTTTACACGCGTGGCGGTTTGTTTTGGCGTGTGCAAAACGTCCTTTTCAGTATTCATCACTAGGACTAGCTTTGACATAAAAGTGGATTTGTGACATGGAGCTGCAGGGCTTCAGGGAGTGTTCGTGTTCATCCCGCCCGGAAGGACGAAGAATATAGACCGCTTTAGAGTGAAGGAGCACCTTTTCGCCCCTTTCTACTTGGGACCCGGCATTAGTGGTTGTCTGGAAGCACTCAAGTGATAGAATTATTTCAAATTTGCTTTGAAGAAACTCAGGTGCATTACTCAAGAGACGGCTCACCCCGAGACGGAAGACTTTGCTACATTAAAAGTTTGAAGGATCTTTAGAGTCAGAATTTGAAACCCGTGTAGGGGAACATTTAGCCTAGTCATTGCTACTACCTCAATAGAGATTTATTTTTATTTTTGTTCTAATTTGACGCCCCCAAATATGACTCAATTACGTCCATGCAATTGCTTTTCTAAATGACGATTAGTTGGGTATTTCCAGTACATACATACATATATGTACACACGGGGTATGGTTTGCTCTAAAATTAAACACACCGATGTTTAAAACATTGAATTTAGCAATAAATGTCCTTCTTATCCCCATTCAGATGGCTACCCCAGGGAGGAGATTGTGTACAAGTGGAAAAGGAGCTCAGTGCAGGTCGGGGACATTCGTTCATGGAGGCTCTACCAGTTTTCCTTCGTCGGCCTGAGGAACACCTCTGAGATTGTCAGGACCGTCTCCGGTAAGACAGGATCTTATTTCTTCTCTCCTAAAAAGAACACACTGTCTTTATACAGTAAGGGTTAAATTGATTAATTGGACCCGTGCCAGTTGCACCAAAAAGGTGAAACAGCAAAGAGATTTTTTTTATTTGAACCCCTCCAAATGCTAACAATGCTCTGGCTGTTTGAGCCATCAAATCCACCACGCATCTTCAAAATTTACAGCTGACAATAGATTAATCAGGTTCGTACCTGTTGCTATGGGTTACAGCAGATTGAGAAATAGACGCATAATCAATTCTGTTTCCTTACCACTTTAAGAGCCCAATGCCTTGTCTTTTCTCACCCACATCTCTTTCTGGAGTCCACAGTTATCCGTGAAGTATCCACTAAAAGGGGTAGATGAGTTTTTCAAAATTCCGATTCAATATCAAACCACACTTTGAAGGTTTTTAATGATGTAGGAACTGGATTGTATTCACAAATTAAGAAGAATATGAACGTTTGCTGAAAAGAACACGTCGAAACTCTGAACTGAAAACTGATCTGTCATGTTTGTTCTTATTTGTGTTTATGGTCTTTAGATATTGCTTTGGTATGTGAGTTTTTTTCTGAGGAGATGTGAGCTGTCTGTGCTAGCTGGGGGGGATTTAAGACTGTCGTAAAAGTTGACCTTGGCCACTTTGTAATCTGCAAATTACACAAATGAACTTTCCTTTGCTTAATTGCAGTGCAAGTGCATTAGCATTTGTTTGCCAGAACTTTAAAGTTTGGATATATTTTTTTAAAATGCTGCCCTCCACAGACATTGAGGTACCACTTTTTGCTTTTTCAATTAAAGTGCACATTCCATTATGAGATCATTAGGGTCCTTATTCTTTTTTCCAAAGTAATATCCCTTTTTCCTGATCTCTTTTGCACTGTCCTGTGAAAATTGGGTGTAACAAAACACCAATAACCTGCAGGTCTTAGTTCTTATATCAAATCACAATAGAGCTCTCACTAAGTTGTGTAGTGTGAGCATTGATGATGATTCTTGTTTTCATTCTTTAAAAATAATTGCCAGCAATCATTCAGAATATAAAAAGAAAGAAAAGCATTCATCAAGCCATTCTGTAATTTGACAGCCAAACAGAAGGTTCACTATGACGTAAAGAACCAAAGAGGCAGATTTCTTTCCTGTGTGTCTGACATGGGTTCTACAAGTCCAGTTGCTTGAATTGAAACGCTGAAGGTGGATCATAAGGGGGAGGAAGTTTTCGAGAGACATGATGAAAGGGGAAATTGTGCAAGAGGAATGGGCGGTTGTGGAAACGGTGCAGGGTCCTCAGACTCTCTCCCTTTGATCTGGTTTGTTATTTCCACGGGCTGCCATCTGCCGTCTTGTCAGAGCCGAGAACCTGGACTGGTGGCTGTGAGACCTCTTGTCTCATTTGCAGGCAGTTAGGGAAGTGACCTGCTTCAAGATTTGTGAACACAACATCTGTCTCAAAGACCAGTCAATTATGGCATCATACCTACAGTACATTGTCATCTTAAATACTTACAATGCAATGAAGAATGCTGCTTGAATTGTTGGACTCTAATATTTAGGTTGTATCAGTATGCTAGATTTTTTGTGATAGATGACAAATCTGACAACATCTGGCGTCAGTGGAGTGGGTACCAAACATCTGCCTCAGCTGCAATGTTCACTTATTATTTACAATTCAATATACATTTACTTTATGTAGACAAACTGGATTGAGCATTAAACCCTTATAGAAGTAAATTGTGTCAGTTTGATTAACAGACACTAGGATAGGTTAAGAGAAAGAATGACGGTTTAGAAATCTTAACAAAACTTGTTTAAGTATTTACGTATATATGGCTTATTTATTACTTGTTAATACCGTTTTTCCCAATATAATGCATCAGAATTAAGCTAAAAAAATTGTTCAGTGAGGTTTAAAATGTTGACAGTCAGGGTCATGACATCATCTTTTCACATCTTTAATTACTTTCCCTTTCCTTTTTTTTTAGCAATCTATGAGCTTTTCTTTAATATTACCCTTTACATTCCTTCTGTTGTGCTGTTGTCAATGTGTTGTAAATGATCATAGACAAAAAATATGTAATCTAATTGTCTCTATGTCTATTCTAAAGGCTATGTCTGTTTTTATTTGGTTCTTTTCCCCCTACCTCAGTGTCCAAAGGCTTTTTGTCTCAACATGTCAGTTCACATCAGGGCTGGGTGGACTGCCTGGAAGCCTATACCTGCATTTACAAACAGAGAAACATTCATATGCACACACACATGCAAGCATTGAATTACTTTGAAAAATTAAAAACAAGACCCAAATGAATCAGCATAAAGAAAAGAGATAAGAAATGAATATTTCCAATGTTGGGCATTTGAGGCACTCGATGGGCAGCTGATGGTGTTAAACTTAAAATAAATCCCTCAGTTACTGGATTAAGCTACACACTCACACAACTAAACACAGTGAGAGAGGAAGACTGCTAAAACAAAGAAGAAACACAGGTGAAAGAGGAGACTAAGGGAAATAAACAGAACCCACAAAGGTCAGGTGTATGTTTGTGAAGGGATGAGCAAAACATTTGGTTTTTCTGTCTCCATAATAAAAAGAAAATCTTAAATCTTGCACACTGAGCCAATCATAAACATATTACCTTTTAGAGCATTGACTCTTTTAAACAGATAACTTTTTACATTCTCAGAGGTTAGCAAAATGAACAGTTATATACGAGGGATGACCATTTTGGGGTAATTAATGATTAATACAACAACAACACTTATTGACGCATCAACACATCATGTATACAAGAGCAGTTTAAAATGGAGATAAAGGAAGTTGCACTTTAAGGGGGAGGACCAGGATGAAGATGTGATTTGTTTTTATCAATAAAAGTGTTTGGCCATTTCGGCTGAGTGATTTTGCCAGAGTGCTGTGTAGACATTAACCGTGGTCCTCTACATTAGAGGGATAAATGAGCGCAAAAAGCATCACGTAAATGGACGAGAGGCTTTTCCCTCGAAGCATAAAAGGGGGGCATTAGATCCATTTGCTGCCTTTCTCTGTTTTCTTCGCAACCAGTATCAGTTTCTTCAGCAGTGAACCATGGAATGGTTTGGACGCTAGATGGTTAATAATCTGAAAAACAAGCGAAAATGCACCCTCTGTGCACCCTATCTGTGTGCATGCGTTTGACAGTGTGAGTGCTCTGAACTGAGCCCGTGTCCATGAATTATTGCATGTTTTAATGTCCATTTGCCCGCGTGCACATTTTACCATGTGCATTCCACTGGATGCGGGGCCCTTCTTTTTTTTTTCCCCGTTGGAAGCTATTCTTAGAGTGACCTTCCGAAAGCCACGCCACGAAGCCCCGTTGTCTGTGTGCGGCTGCCTATGTGATTCAGTTTGAGAGGAGGAAGCCCGGGGACACATCAGTGGCCGTTTACGGAGCTGCTGTGATTCTGTGACGGGGCAAATCTGGAGGCATCGTGGTTAAAAGGAACATGCTTGGCAACAAGAAAAAGTCTCTGTCAATGCACTCAAGTTTGTTTAGCACAATGTAAGATGCAAACCTTTTTTCCTCCGTATACCATTAAAATGTACTGTAATTATCCTACAATCCAAGCATGCTCCTACACAGAAGACTAGAAAAAGCTCATTCTGATGCGGGTTTTCTCCAAAGAATTATTTAGACCTGAATATCCATTTTTAAATGAGAGCCACTGCAAGAAAAAATATCAACGCCATCTTGGGGACAGCAATAGTGTAAAATCTCCCAGTGGGAGTGTGGTGGTGGTATTCCCAAGCTGAACAACACAAAATCCAAAGCAAATGCATGGGAACACGTTACCGAATTACCTCAAAGTAAACGACGCCACAGAGGTACACGTGTTTGTCACTGTTCATCTGGTTTAATCAAGAAAAGATGAAGGGAGACAAAACCAATAAACCAAAATGCCAAATCATTTTTTTATTGTTACTGAGACCCTGACTCCCTGATCAAATAATCTGTCTCAGCTTCAGCATATTGTATGAATATGTTCTACTTTCAGCCAGTTAAATTGACTTAATCCTCAGAATAATTTACTAAAAGTGGGTACCTTCAATATGAGAACAAGTATTGTTCAAAAATCACTTTATTACCGAAGTGCATTGCATTTACTGAAAATAAAAAATTAGACCCCTTATCTTAATTGCAAGAAAAGATCCCTTAATTACAAGAAAAGATCTCGTGATGATGAGATCTTTTTCTTGTAATTACGACATGCTAGCATAACAACAATAGCAACAACTCAGGCATGAGTGTCAGTCATGTCAGCTCGTCTGTTGCCACGGTAACCACAGGGTAGCCACATTCATGAATAAACGTCATAAATAAAGTTTTTAATTCAATTATAAACACATGAATGTACCCCATCGTACGAAGCAGAAGTTGGCTCTCAATTCAATGACTCCAGATTTCCCTGCATTTTTCACAGTCTGATTACTCTAAACTGGGTCTTCTGTTGAAACTACAGTAGCTATGATGCTCAAATCTGTATGGAAATATCTTAACTAGGCCGTAGTTTCATTAAAAGCTTGTTAATAATAATTGTTGTTGATTGTTGATGAATGATGAGATTAAAAATGGTGTATTTGGCTAAAGTTTGTCTCCAGTTCTACTTTAGTTCTATGTATCTTTAGCAGTTTTACTTTGCATCAGTTTCTTGTTGAAATAGAAAATAATGAAGAAAGATACCGATTTATGTTTGAAGTTTAAGTTTACAGAATCACACAGTCTCATGTGTTCACACTGATTCAGAACTAGGGAGAAGCACTGGATACCTAAATAATATTTCATATTCATTTTCAGCATTTTCAGGGATCAGCACTATGAAATTCCCTGTAATTTATTTTTCATCAATATCAATACAAAATCAGAAGCAAACAGTATTAACAAGTAAACATTTTAGTGTATAGCTTGTATAGGCTGTGAAAAATGATTCAGTCTCAAAGCAAACACTATATATGCATAAGGTTTCTGGCATGATGTCTGCTTTGGGAATGTTACTATATGTTCATACCTAAA